CACTGGATGTATAACTCCACTGATTTCATTTTTGTTAATTCCCTATGAGCTAGGCAAGCATTAAATGGGGCCAAAATCCCTGGTTATATAATTCACTGGATGCGATCGTTCATGTGTTAAAATGACTACATATCTTAAGTAACATTTGTCGTTTTTCTGCTAAAAGTTCTATGTACTTATTATTATGAAGGTTATTTAGCATGCAATTCAGATGCCAAAACAGCTGTATTAGTCCCGGGTTATGCAATTCCACTGTAGTCAGAAACATTTGATATGTATTTGATTATAATAATTGAAATTACATTTTCCTCCTCGCAGATTAATAAAAACTACAGATATGGTATCTTATGACAATTAAACGCCCTGGTTTATGTTTAGCCCCCAGGTTTTCCCTCTCCCATGCACGCTGGAGAATACAACATTTTTCGGAAAACAAGAATTCCAGGAAAGGTAAACCACTTCTTTATCAACAATTTTAAAAACTGTCTGCTTACCGATTGTAAGATGACTTTATGCTCACAGAGTTTAAGTTTCGATTGAGAAGATACATCCAAACGCCTCGTAGCTCGTCAAAAATACTCCACTGTGCGTCTTATTTCCAACTCTCTTTTCGGTGTTTGGAAATGTGGTCGAACACGGTGTTTCGATCATATTTTCGCGCCAAATTGTTTATGTATCCACCTGCACTGTTAAAAGCTGCATCCCCCCTGTCCCCTTCCCTTCCTCCCCTTTTATAACAGGGATACATACCTGTAAGTCTGCCCGAGACTTTGGTGGCTTTTTAGTTTTCGTTTTCAGAAAATGATGACATCACATGAAAACGCTCTATTGGTCCGAACGCGTCACGTGACTGAATATGTCCGAGCTAAAACTAGGGGATATCTGAGTGATGCTCCCCAATTTCCAGATCCCACGTGTTGCGGAAAATATTTAAAGGATGATAAACACAATAGCCCCAATTCAACTTTAAAATTTCCCATGATAATATCCGAGGACAATTATCTCAGTGTATTTTCGCGCCAAATTGTGGCTCTCAGTGATATGCAAATTAGCTATGAAATGGTATCTAAATAAATGCGCATGTGCCCAGCTGCCTGTGTCCCTGGTTTAATTTTTTTAGCCCCCAGCTAAAACAAGCGAAGGAAGCTACGACAGGTTCAAAAAAAGAGGAATTCCAGGAAAGGTAAACCACTTCTTTGTAAGAACATTTAAAACTGCTTGCTTACAAATTCTAAGAGCTCGAGGGTTTTATGCTCAGTGAAGAAATGGCTTTTTTAAAGTGTGGTACAAAAGGGGACTTGCAAGATTTCTGACCATGACTCGTAAGGTTGGCCAAAACCAAAAAATAAACTGGGTGCATAATATTCACTGGTTTTCTAACTCTCTATGAATTAGAGATATATTAAACTCAAATCACTGGTGATATAATTGCGGTCACTTGATATGGTTACACGAATATAGTTTAATTAAAAAATATATTTTTTTTAGCCCCCAGGTTATACCCCTTACACGCGCAGAGGAGAATACAACATTTTTGGGAAAAGAGGAATTCTACGAAAGGTAAACAACCACTTCTTTCTAAAACAATCTTCAAAACCGCCTGCTTACCAATTGTAAGATGACTTTATGCCCAAAGAAGAAATGGCTTAACCCTTTGAGTACTAAACGTTCGCCAAATAATACCGTTTTGTTACCGTTTAGTCAGGTTTTTTGGCTGCCATGACGCTAAATAAGCCTAAGTTTGGCTAAGATAGCTTTTTTTACCAAAAGGAGAGATTTTTCGAAGATTACGTACAAAATTGAGCAATATTTCAATTCCGGGCATGCGCATAAGCCAAAATTTGGACTTTGGACTTCTCTGCTGCCCTGAAAAGTTGGAGGTTAGCTACGGGCGAAGCCTAGAAATGGAAAAATGGAAAAGACGCGTAAACTTGCCGTAAACAAAGAGAAGTGAATTTTATTCAAAATAACGCGAACATGGTCAATAGCTTTTCTCGCTTTTTGATTGGCTACGTAAAAAAGTCCATAAAATCTCATTGGTTAAAAAGTTGACAGTTTGACTGAGCTGGAATTTGAACTTGAAAGCTTGCAGAAATTAAAGTTTTATCCGTCTGTACTCTTATTGATGACAAAAATGAGCCAATCAGCGCGCGAGAAATTAGACAGTTACTGTAAAAAAAAAAAAGCGTTTGCGAGGATAGAAAAGTTATTATGCGTGGCTTGTGATGGTTCTTTCGCCAACTCGCTGACTGGCTATATACAGCTTTCGGAAAAGGCACACAGCACAACAATGGAGGAGAAATGAAGGTGAGTTTTTAAATCTGGTTTCAATTCTCTGAACATCTATGAACCCAGTGTAGGTAGTTTTGTTACCGTCTGTCCCTGCTTTGTAGTTCACGTGGTTCTATGATCATGCTCCAAGCGACAATTGTAGCTTTATAAATGTCTATTGAAAGGAGAGGTTTTGCAGGAGTTGTTAAATTTTTCTCCAGAACTGAAAACGTATTTTATCAAGATCTTTTGTCTTTCACAATAGATAGGTAGCCATAGATATATATGATGGTATCTTTTGACAATTAAACGCCATGATTTTATTATTTTTTTTTTTTAGCCCCTACCTTCTCACACTATGCCAGGAGGCTATAATTTTTTTCAAAAAAGAGGAATTTTAAGACAGGTAAGTCACTTCTTTCTTAAAATTAAACTGCATGCTTACTGATCATGTAAGATGACTTTATGGCCAGAGAAGAAATGGCTTAATCAATATGTGTGGTACGCAGGGGACGTTAAAGATAACCAATCCTTTTGAAGTTCTAGTTTCATCAGATAGGAGACCCTTTAAGAACTTGACGTTTTACAACGATTAAGCTTGACAGCTGGGTTCCTCGTTTTGTTACAAAGGACGTTTGAATTTCCCAGTTTTTGCGTTGCATAAGGTCAAACTCGCGGAGGAGTTATCGCTCAAGTTTTTGCTAACTGAACAGTTCTCGCAGTAGAAGTATTATTACTTTCAATGTGTCGGAACTCTAGAGTGTTACGTTTTCGTTTTAATTGCAAAACTCAATGATAGATGTTTCTGTTGCTTTACGGCCATCATGTTGGTGCCCCTCGCAAGGGCACTAACATGGAGTCTCCATGCAAAGCTCTATAAATTTGGGTGAAACACTTCTCCACATAATGCGCGAATGAAAAACCGCACAGACCTAACTCATGGTGAGGTTGTTTGTATATCAATCATCCATCATATCCCAGATTCTTGATTTAATTTCTTGAATGGTTAACACGATCTTCATTTTTGATTGCGTGACAGTGTAAACCAGCAAAAAGATTTCTGACCATAAATCGTAAGGTAGTCCAAAACCAACAAATAGGCTCCTGAGTGTATAGATATAATTTCGCTGATTTTACACGAGTAAGGTATAAATTAAGCCCAATTGAATTACCTGTGATGATTTACTGAATGTGGTCGCTTGACATGCTTGCACGGATAGAGAGGTGTGGTGTGGGGCTGGACGCCATTTCTCAGAGGTCTACTCAGAATTTTGAAGAGTGGAGCAGAAAGTGCCATGCTAACCACATTTTGGCACGCACCAGCAATTATAATTGTAATTATAATTCTAGGAAACTTCATTTCCCAAGCAGATGTTTAACAAAACCTACAGATTTGGTATTTTATATGACAACTAACCATCATGATTTTATTTTAACTAGCCACCAGACTTTGTTCAAGAGGACTTTCATCTCTTAGGAAGTTACGATCCAGCTTTAAGGAAAAGAGGAAATTCACGAAAGGTACACCATTTCCTTTTTAAAATTAAACTGCCTTTTTACTGATTGTAAGATCACTTTATGTTCAAGACTGGGAAATGGTTAATTCAAAGGACGGTTCTAGTTACAAACAAAGCAGAGACTTAAGAGTCTCGTACTTTCTTCATAACTTACGAATTAACTGTGCAAAGTTTAATTTTGAGAGGACCGTGCTGATCGTGCCAGACAAAAATACTTACATCCGAAGACGAGGCGTATATGTAACTTTTATTTTAAGAATGTATGGTATTTTTAAGTGAAAATGACCCGCATATTTTCCTCTCGTGCGCGATAAAATGTATAGATAGTGTAAGATCGTTCCTTAACATGTCCCCCTGATTGGCTACTTACAGATTTGTTGTTTACTTATTTCAATTTCATTTACATTAGAGAAAAGGCAAAAAGCACAAAAAAGGAGGTCGAAAAAACGTGAGTTTGTCATCTGGTTTCAATTTTTGAACATCTATAGACCTACGTATACTGCAGTTTTGTTGCCGTTTGTAACTGCTAACAGGTCTAAGTATGATAAGAAATTTCGCTTTTTCATCATCGAGAAGCTGGGAGTTTGTCGTGGTTCAACCATAAGCGAATGTCGCTTATGCAACTTTGTATGGCAGTTATAGCACCTTGATGACTTAACAACTCATGTGGCCTGAAGGAGAGATATAATTGTGAATCATTCGCATAATATTGAGAATCTGGAGGTGTCGTTCAATGACGACCCAGCCAAAAAAATATGCTTGAAGTTCAAAGCAGTGAGACACTCGCAACACATGGAGGAAGAGCATTCTGTTATCCGGCCTCGAAGCACTGGAACAATCTACCGAGTAGCATATCCAGTCTTGACCCTCTTACAAGCTTTAAGTACTATCTTAAAACATATGTTTTTAAGCAGACTTTTAATTTGTTATAATTTGCTATTGTTCACCTTGTGGTTTTATCAATCTTAATTACTTGTATACTTTATTTCTGTTTAATCATTTTATATAATTGTAAAGTGCATTTGATCATGTACGTCTTGGAAAATTGCGCTATAAAAGTTTCAATTATTATTATTATTATAATTATTATTATTATTATTATTATTATTATCATTATTATAATTATGATCGCTCCTTAACCAGCTTCCTGATTGGCTACTTACGGATTTGTTGTTTACTTGTTTCAATTTCATTTACATTAGAGAAAAGGCAAAAAACACAGAAAAGGAGGTCAAAAGAACGTGAGTTTGTCATCTGGTTTCAATATTCTGAACATCTATAGACCTACGTATACTGCAGATTTGCTGCCGGAGTTGTTTTTAAAATGTTTCTCCAGAACTAACTGGCTAAACACCGAACTTTATTGTTATCTAGTTTTTTCTTTTCACAATATATATAGGTAACCACAACCATTCAGCCAATGACGACAAACCACCCGGTAACAACCAGCCAACCGACGATAACCTCCCAAGACAAGGTGAGCACCAAACAAAATGGACCGAAACAAATGTGCAGTGTTTATGGCTCTGATGTCCTTGCTATAAAGATCGAGTTATGTACTAAAGTTCTTGCTTAGCTCACGGTTACCCATCAGCGAGTGAGATAAGTATCTAGATCGATAAAATGTTTTGTGCCAAATTGTATTTTAAGTTTCTGTAGTCCACATGGTCCACTCAGTGCGTATAGTTTAAATCGTATACAAGTATTTCGAAAGCTACATGTTCAACTTTTTTTGTCTGCAGTTCTCTCCGGCAATATCAAACGGTCAGATTCTCAGCGATGGATCATGCGTTTACGATTGTTTTGCACCAACTAACATTTTAATGTTAGTTGGTGAAATGCGGTGTCCGATTGTAAGACATTTTATCAGCGCTTCCCTTGCGAATTAAGAGCAACCAGAAAAATCCTTAGGTCGCTTGAATACCTATTTAGTCATTTTTCAAAGCTAGTAATCAAGCTTCCTTTATTAATTAACAGCCAACTACAAAGATGCCAGTGCCGGTAATACCCGGGGGAGGGGGTACTCCCAGAAAAGTTGGGTGGGGGTGTACGGCCCACTTCCCAAAACCCTTACCCTATTTATGACCAAAATCTGCTACTCTATTTATGACCTAGCGAAAAATTCGATACCCTATTTATGACCTTTGTAGCTGGAACAGTTGTCCTAAACATAAGTTATGAAGGGCTTTTGTTGACGGTTTTATTGATAATGATGAAAAAGTAGCTTCTTCTAAGAAACATACCCAATTCAAGACTAGAGTGCTAAAACTATACCCCATTTATAACCAAAATGGCCAAAATCGATACCCTATTTATGACCAAAACGTCTGAAAAACCATACCCTTTAGGACCGCACATACCTATATAGCCCATATAAANGAGGGGGTACTCCCAGAAAAGTTGGGTGGGGGTGTACGGCCCACTTCCCAAAACCCTTACCCTATTTATGACCAAAATCTGCTACTCTATTTATGACCTAGCGAAAAATTCGATACCCTATTTATGACCTTTGTAGCTGGAACAGTTGTCCTAAACATAAGTTATGAAGGGCTTTTGTTGACGGTTTTATTGATAATGATGAAAAAGTAGCTTCTTCTAAGAAACATACCCAATTCAAGACTAGAGTGCTAAAACAATACCCCATTTATAACCAAAATGGCCAAAATCGATACCCTATTTATGACCAAAACGTCTGAAAAACCATACCCTTTAGGACCGCACATACCTATATAGCCCATATAAANCCCCCCCCCCGGGCGGTTATAGCACTATCCAGGTTGGTAAGTTCTTCATTCTCAGTATGAGTTAGAGTTTTCTTGCTTTACTTTTCACGAATGGCCTCGCTCGCGATGTTCAGTTTACTGGCCCTTGATGAGTCAGACGAGACTAACTGGAGTTCTTAATTGCAATTTTTTTCAACAAGAGAGGATAAAGAGAACCTATCCTTCAACATCTCCTGTTTTGCTTGACACAAAAAGGTCTGAGTCACGGAAATAGAAAAGGCGATACTAAGAGGCGGAAAATTTAAGAGAGAAAAATAAAACTGTAAAATGGGATGTCTCAGCCAATGAATTCGACAATTTTGAAGTCGAAAATTTAATTTTGTTGCGGTTTACTACTTGAAAGCCCTAAAACATGACATCACATTACCCAATCAAAACCCGTCATATGTCTGAGTCATGCGGTTGAACGCTCATCAGCGTCACGTGAGTAAATAAACAAATAAATTATGATGTTACATGCGGTAGATATGAAGGCTTTTGTGTCGTTGTTACAAAATGAAAGAAAAGAATTTATTTTCTGTACAGCAGCCTAAAGCTCACAGGATGGACTCTGCGCCAGGCATTTACTCCTCAGTTTTAGGACAGAGGGGATTTTTAAGAAAGGTATTTTAACCGTTTGTAAAGATTAAAGCACATGTAAAAAGTACTGAACATTGCTTAGCGCGGGGTAAATTTCCTGATAAACCTACTGTAATAACAAATCCGCCAAAGAAGCTAGTGGAATAGGAATTTTCTCCATAGTATATATAATTCTGCACATAACTGAGCAATTATTCCACTAGCGTGCACTGGATGTGAGATGGTAGACAGCCAATGAAGCGCGTAGCGCCGATTTCGATATATTCATCTCATATCCAACATGCGCAAGCGGAGTACTTGTTTTATTTACGACGCCCCCCAAATATAGAAAACTTAAATGAAAAAAAAATGAGAACGCCCCCAACATTTTACGCACGCTTACCATATTTGTAGAGCATAATATAATTCCATAACGCAGTTTAAGGAAGCTTCTTTGAAATTTACACTATTAATTGAGCACAACTTTCAATACTGGAACTAACTTGTAATGGAGGCTCATGCGGGAGTATCATTAAAAAGAGATTAATTTTATTTGTAATTGTGAAAAGCCTCTCCGCATTAGCCTCGGTTGCAAGCTAGTTCCCGTCCAATACCGAGAATACGAAAATGGTCTAAGTTTTCTTCAATTAGTTGTTTATAGTCACAAAGATATTCACAAAGATAACATCCTGTTTCATGTTTGTCCGTAAACTAGCGCACATTGAAATGGTATCCATTGCAAGAAACGCTTTTAGTTCCCCTTGGCTAAATTACAACATGCAGTATATTTTCATGTTCCTGTAAATACCCCGGTTCTTTTTTAATGCTACTACTCTAATAACTGTTTTACTTTGTTACCAGTCCACGGCAACCAACACCGAGCCGAGACAAGCCACACCAGGCTCCCAGGTGATTATCTCCTCAAGACAGTTTCATTATTTTAATTTCTTCAAAATAGCCTAGGATGTGCTATACAGGTTATTAATGATTTTACGCCGTGTCTGACATCAATCTAGACCAGCGTTTTCAAGGAGATGGAACTAAGTTATAACTTGCTTTGCGTCGGTCAGAAGGGACTTGAGTTTTACTCGATGCGCTCTTTTTCAAATAGTCCAACTTTGGCCATCTGTGCTTTTCGGTCTTTCACGGTAACGTGAAGTCATGAAAAGAGCATTAAAATTGTGAGATATATTACATACATATGAGCACAAAAAATTGTATTACACCAGATCTAGATCATTATTTAGCCAACTCGGCGCTACGCGTCTCGTTGGGAATCTATATCATCTCATATCCAGCGCACGCTCGTGGAATAGCCTTTTAGGTCTTCTTAAGCAGTTCAGTTTTTCCTGGCAGGTTGGGCTCTCAGACAAGATGCCAAGCTATTTCAAGATACCTGTTGGTAAAAGAGAAAGGTCAGTTTTAAACCGCAGTGTTAGGAAGGTCAGTTTTAGAACAGTGTTGTGTGTTGTTTCCGTTTTCTTGTTTGTCGATACCATAATAATGTAATGGTAGTAGTGTGTAATAATGGTTTGGCACGATCATGTGTTCATAACATCGGACTGAAAGCTACGCTATTCGTTCGTTAAAAGTCCTTAGATGTAAACCGTTAGACAAACGTTAAACTTCCTTAGATGTAGACGTTAGGATAAAACGTTAGAATGCTGTGAAGGCCGTTAACTATCCGTTAGCTAAACGGATGAGCGTTAAGGTACGTTCTCCCGTTCACGGTCACATACTATGACTCAATGACTCAATGACTCAATGACTGAGTAACTAAACGACTTACTGAGTGACTGACTGAATGACTGAGTGATTCGCTGATTGACTGATCAACTGATTGACTGACTAATGTTTTCTTTGATTGGTCGATCAATCGATCGATCGAATGACGGATTGATTGATTGATTGATTGATTGATTGATTATCTCAATTGTTTATTCATTTTTCTCTCATCAGTCTTTCGAATACCACACCTGAAGTATCTAAGAAGTCAAAGGACATGGGTGGCGAAAAGTACGTGTTGCCATGGTAGCATAGCTATTTGGAAAGCACATTTGCTTCTTCAATAAAATGTACTCGCCGGTAGAAAATAAAGCTTGAGTGAATTACGCACCCATTGTGTTTGCTTTAATATGTTAATTATTGCTTTTACACTTGGTAATGAGTAGACAAAGATAGCTAACCATTCTGCATAGTTTAACAGCAATTTTACATTCATTTTCAACAGCTATGTTTTCTTATGAATTAATAAGATTTCTCTCGATATTGGAATTCTTCCTAGCAACCGGTTAAATCAAAAACTGACGACAAATTATAACTCCTAAGCTTAGTTGTTGAACTTTCGTAATATGCCTATTGAAAATTCCTCCCATTTCCTATAAACCTCCCAACCCTGGTACAAGCTCATCTAGGGAATCATATTCGGGAGATAAGCCCCCTCCGGATATCAGCCCACCCCAATCTTTATTTTTTCAAATTAATAATAAGCTTGAAAAAAAATTCCTGAATTCTAATTGGCGAAAAAAAGAGTACACGGCTTCTTGTATCGTTAGAGTAGAAAAGTGTAATGCAAGTGCAAATTACAACGAAGATTTCCCAAGGTGTCCAAAGTTTATCCGGGGCCTTCCGAAGTTAGCCGAAGATAATCTGGAGAATTCCGAACACTTCACGCTCAGTTTCAAACACTATTTTCAATCCATGCTGTGCACAGCCTCCTCCCGGATTTAAGCTCCCCCGGCCTTGATATTTCTCAGGATTTATACAACTCCAAGGCTTTTAACAAGCATTTTTGAAACGATATAGCTGTCTTTCTGTTTTAGGAATATGATTTATAAAATAACTGAACTACTACGCGCGCTCTCACTGGTCGATAGATGTGTTTAAATGAGAGGATGTAAACAGAGTTGTAAACACGGTTGTGACGTTTTAGATACGCGCGTATTTTTGAGAATTATTTTATAAAAGAAATAGAGCACTCTTTCCAAGTTTATATAGCCTCATCTTAACACCCGGGGACTGGGAGAATTCTTGAAAGTTACGCAAAACCGAGACATAGTCGAATTCTCTCAACCCTCCTCGTGTTTAGATGAGACTATTTAAACACGGAAAAAGTGCTCTATCACTTAATTGTCGAACGAAATCATCAAATTAATAACAAGAAACCCTTCAGTTTTCATCACTTCTACACAGGAAAAGTGCCAACTGCAACTGAAGAAGCAGTTAAGCGAGGTGAAGAACAAGAGAGGATAATGATAATAATAAACCTGGGAAAGAGAAAACAATTTTTAAACCTTCAGAAAGGTTTTGTGGCATTTTCATTTTCCAGTTAAATTTTAAGGTGTCATGTCAGTTGCGTTGTCGCGATACATTGTTGCATTGAAAGCTGAACTGAATTGTATATTGTAAGTTGAACTGAAAGGTTGTTGTTCTCATCTCTTGAACACCTGCATGTATTGCCAATTGTAGCCTGCATTGCAGGCGTAAGCGGGGAAGGAGTTGGAGAGGCAAAAAAAAAAAAAACCCCTGAAGACGGGAAAGAAACGCTTCTTCCTCTCTCCCAGTCCCCCTTCTTTCGATTCCTCAAAAAGGTTTTTTTTTTTTTTTAAGTTCATGTTATACAGTGTAACTGCATTCCTCCGCAGACGAGTCCTCATGGCAAGTAGCTGTTGAGTAATCCCAGAAACATAGTCGCCTGGCTTTTTGAACTCAAATGAGTGGCACACTTAACGGGAGGGAAAATCTGTGTTGACCACTTAAGGACTCCATATTTCCCGACCGGGTTTACTGGTAACGAGCAATTGACTGATGCCAGACCTTACTCGACCAACCATCATTCTGTCGAAGATGGCGGACCGTGGAGTCGGAAGTGATCTGTTGTCAGAGATACAGAATACTTTCAACAGTACGAAAAATCTGTTAGTTCAGAACGTTGGAACTCAATATGATCCTCTTGAAGTGTGCCTGGATAGAAAAGTCGCAGAGACAGTGAACCACGTTTACAAACACAAGGTATGAAATTTACATTTGCAGTATCATTTGCGTGATAATGGAACATTTAATTAAGTTGCGTACATTTTTCAATATTAAACATAACAATTTATGGATTTAATGGTCTTATGGCAATTTCAATACATCGTCCTTTAATTTTATGCCTTAACCCGTTATGTTTCACTGACGCGTTCAATTAATAATACATGTACATCTGTAGTGGCACCTGAAGGATCATATCTGTCGATTGAAGTCCAATAAAGTCCATACATGAATAAGCATCGACTACTTTACAATTTACTCGAATCGAAAAAATCGATATAAGCCTGAAATTTATCCATTATTTATATAATAAACCCCAGTCAAGTTCAGTACCAGTTTTTGACAAAAATATCATTATTTGTCTCGTTTCAACTTAGGCTTAATTAGCTTCAGTATTTCTAAATATACCGGTATTCTTTTAGTTAGAAAAAAAAAAAAATCGAAGCTACCCAGTACATGCACATACACTGTAACCTTCCTTGATTCATATAAATGATATATTTTGACTTTTCATTGATTGAACTCAATTTAATTCAACATGTAAATGTAATATTTATTTAACTCTGTGAAGAAAACAATTCTAGACATGGATGTTATTAGGAATTCTGGGATACATGAATGTTTGTCACATGAATAACTGTGCACTTCTCATCTGTCTTTCTCAAGATGGAATCAGTCACAGGGTTATATATTGATATCATTTGACTATCAGTTGTAACCTTACATTCATGAATGAACTGTCATGAAAAGACTGACCTGAAGGGGGCATTCTCTCAAAAACTAACATCTAAGACCAAAGACCTAAGGCCACTCTGCATCTCAAAGACTAAAAGACCTAAGATCCCCTCTGAATCTCAAAAATTAAGACCCAAGACAACCCTCCTCAAATCTCAAAAAAAAAAAAAAATCCTAAGATTCCCTTCCAGATCTCAAAAACTAACCCCAAAGATCTCCTTCAAATCTAAAAAACTATAACACCTGAGTTTGCTTTCATTTGAAACTTTCTATCAACAGCAATCATGTGTAATTTTTGTGGCCCAAAATTGTTTACTTTTGAGGTTTACAGTTGGTCTTAGATCTTAGGTCTTGGGTCTTAGGTCTTAGGTATTAGTTTTTTGTATAATTTCAGAGGGGGTCTTAGGTCTTTTTGAGGTTCAGAGCTGGTCTTGGGTTNGCTTTTGAAGATCTTTTAAGTCTTAGTGTCTGAGATCTTGAGTCTTAGAGATGTACAGTTGGTCTTAGGTCTTGGGTCTTAAGTCTTACAGTGTAGGTCTTAGTTTTTGATATAATTTCAGAGGGGGTCTTAAGTCTTTTTGAGGTTCAGAGCTGGTCTTGGGTTGGGGGGGTCATAGGTGTTAGTCTTAGATCTTCTCAGGTCTTTGGTCTCAGTGTTTGAGGAACTCAGCCCTGAGAGGTGTTGAATTCAATGTTATACATGCACATGAATGTTACTGTTGCTTTGCATTCCAAAACTGCCCCACATTAATGAACATTTAAAAACACATTTAACTTTATATTAAAATACTGAAAATACTCTCTCAGGTTAATGAAGTTAAACCCATTACAAACCAAAAAGCATCTGGAAGGTGTTGGATTTTTGCATTTTTGAATGCTATTCGTCAGAAGTTTGTCCAGCATTTCAACTTGGAAGACTTTGAATTTAGCCAGCAGTTTCTCTACTTCTGGGACAGAATTGAAAGGGCATATTTTTTCATAAATACTTATGAAGAACTTGCAAGGAAAGGAGAAGCACCAGATGGACGTTTAATGATGTTTCTTCTGTCCAATCCATTGAATGATGGTGGCCAATGGGACATGCTTATTAACCTTGTGGAAAAATATGGCTTGGTACCCAAGGCAGTTTGGCCTGAAGCATTCACTTCTGGAAGGTCAATGAGATTGAGAAAGATTATGAATTATAAGGTACATAATTATACATTTACTGTTGCACTTCTTAGGTTTGTAATTTGCTTTTAAACTGACAGTAGACAGGCCTGTAAACTTTTACTAATTACATAAGATAATGATGAACACATTATTTGTTAGTAATAACTTTAAATTTTCAGAACTGTCTCTGGATAAATTTTTATTCAAGAGGCTTTTTACATGTAGGTGTGCTTATAATTTTCAGGTGGGAGTTTGGAGTTTCACTGACTGCCTCACCAAGTAACTGACTGACTATCTGACTGACGGACTCACTCACTCACTGACTCACTGACTCACTGACTGACAACTGACTGACTGACTGACTCGCTGACTAGCCGACTAGCCAACTAACCTACTCACACACTGACTGACTGACTGACTGACTGACCGTCCGACTGACTGACTGGTTGATTATTGCTTGATTGATTGATTGATTTTATTTGGGAGAGTTTCTTGTTCAACAAAAAAAACAAACAAACAAACAAACAAACAAAAAGGCCAAAATCGTGTCATATGCAGTATTGTGCCACTGTTTTGAGTGTTACTGCTGATTACGTTTAATAGTGCAGCATCTTGTTGAAGATTACATTTTACACTTCTGTCGTTAATTTTATTTTCCTACTCCTTACAGCTACGAGAATATGCTATGCAGCTGAAGGAACTAGTGGACAAGAAATGCAGTGACAAGGACATGAGAGAAGCAAAGAAGAAGATGATGACTGAGGTGAACCAAAGATTACAGGAAGTGTGTTTGTACTGTCTTTAGTCTTAAACTTACCACAGTGACTGTTTAATAATATTGTTCTTTTTTCAGGTATACAGAATAACAAGCATTTGTCTTGGCACTCCACCCAAATCATTTGACTGGGAATATTCTGACAAAAGTAAACAATATTGCAAGTTGTCAGATTTAACTCCACTGCAGTTCTACAATGAACATGTCAAACCAGTTTACAACCCACTAGACAAGGTACATTTACTAGTTAGAATGCATGGGGTTCATTTAGTGTAATTCCTCTTTAGTTAGATCAAATAAATTTATGTCATTATAGGAGCCATTTGTTTACATACAGAATTTGTTTATATCGAGTCACTTGCATACAGATTTCATTATTAGGTTGCTATTAGAAACTAGTTAAGATCTACTCTGTTTCCATAAAATTCAAAGGAAAGCTAGAACCCACTGAAAGACAGCAGTTCTCCCGGTTATGCTGCAAAATGTAATACTAACACAAAATGTAACAACAATTGCCACAAAAGATATAATTTATAAATTTGATAGTGAATCCTGAAAGCAGCAACCCTTGAATCAAAAATCCTGCTTATCCATGGCTGTTTTTGCAGATATGCCTGGTGAATGACCCACGCAATCCTTACAACAAACTGCTCACTGTGGAGTACCTCAGTAACATGGTCAATGGAAGACTCGTTTTGTACAATAATCAACCAGTAGAAGTTCTCAAGAAGCTTGCAGCAGCATCTCTTAAAGACAATGAGGTAAAAACTAGTGAATATAAACCTTCTTCTGGAAGGAGAATTATCCTGATGACATAATACCATTGTCGGCTTCGGCTCCTGGCGAGTCTTTCTAAACTGGATTGGTTCAAATGGGGAGGCCTGGCAAAGGATTTTCCTCCAGGTAGGGGGTTCTAAAGGCATTGCGCCAACAACCCCATCTTCTAACAGCTGTCTAAAATAATAATATTATTTGTGCATTGCAACCTTCTTCAGGGACTGTTGCATCACTGATCACGCATGACTTTTGGTGACAATTATGCCAGAATAGTGGCTGGCTGTTTTCGAGCCTATTGGCCCATCTTGCTGATGCTTATCATTCGTTTACTTACCATGAAGTGACTCAGAGTAGTTTTAGTCCCCCTGGATGGCGTGCCAGTCCATCACATGGTTATCCCCTATTATTGAATTTGCCAGTACCCTTGATCTGGAGTCCACTGCACCAACCATTAAGTCACTGCCCCACACATAATAGTGGTAAGAAGAAGAAATTAAATTATAAAGAATTCAGTCCATGTAGTTGACATTGTATTGAACTATGGACATTGCCACAAAAAATGAAGTCATGTTACCTTTGTTACCAGCATTTTCTCACATTGTTTCCATGTTGTTTTGAACTGCAGGCAGTTTGGTTTGGTTGTGATGTTGGCCAACACTTTGAAAGGAAAAGAGGAGCACTTCATCTTGACATGTGAGTCCATAATAATGTTATTATAATTATTATTAACTTCATAGAGGATATTACAAAGGGGTGCAAAGATAAAAGAACATTACATGGGTGTGCATAGATATAGAATTTCTCCTCAAGTGTTCAACTTGATATCTCATGAATGAGTGCAGCTAACGAGTGAGATATAAAGTTGAACATGAGAAGATAAACTCCATATCTACAAGAAACCATGTATTATTTTGTTTATTATATATTAAACAATCATACTAATGACAACATTTTTGATGATTTTCTGAAAATTTTGGAGCACGTTCCGAGGATTTCCAAAGATTCTTCAAAAGTTGACTGAATGACAGACAAACATTTTTCCAAAGAATACCGAAGATTTCTGAAGATAACCGGTGATTGCTGAAGATTGCCGAGGAAGATCTGATGATGTTTCGATCATACAGGAACACATTCAACCATGATCTTTTGACTTAAAATAGGATGTTATTTTCATGTGTGAAGATATCATATTTCCACATGAAAGTTCGCCTAGTATTTCATTCATTTGGTGTTTATAAAATATATAATACATGAATTATTTTCAAGTGGTAAGAACAATATTTTATGAACAAGTGCAGTGAGTGAGCAGAATATTGATCAATTTTAGCACAAGAATATAAAATTCATGTCTTGAAGCTAAGTACTGTACCGTGTTATTTTCTTTTCATAGTATAGACTAACTGACTGTTTGTACAAACAATCATGAAAGTTAGAAATGACATCATCAATAGAAAATATGATAATTATGCCACTCGGGTCTGGATGTAAATTCGTATGAATTTCCCAAGAGGTGTATTTTTCAGTAAAACAATTGAGTCCATAAAAGATGTAGTCGTAAGCCTTCCAATGTCAGTGATGATCAAGTGTAAAGAGAACTGGTGAGAATTTGGTAAAGAACAGATAGCAGATGGCCACAAAATAATGTAACTAAATTTCTTTAATATTCAAACCGATTTCCCCTAGTTTTGTTCGAAGAAATGTGGAGACTACTAAAGAGAACCTGTATATTGATATGCATGTATATAGGCCTAAGGTTTGACTAAATGACCCACTACTTACAATAATCACTTTTTTATTTACTACACAGTCATAACTATGAACTGGTATTTGGAGTATCCATGTTGACCTTGGACAAAGCTCAACGACTGCTGTATGGTGACTCACTAATGACTCATGCAATGGTGTTCACTGGATTTTCCTGGGAGGTGAGCAAACGACTACACAGAAACGAGTTAAAATAATATACTCTCTATCATCGTAGGCCTGTAATGCATGCAGAGAGCTAGAATATAATAAAGCTCTATGCATGCACTGCAGGCCTATGGTGATAGAGCTGTTTAAAAGTGAGAAACTTCAAAAACTCTTAATAATTTTTGGTTATTTATAGAATTAGAAGGATTTGCCAAACTTGAAAAACTTATTAACTGATAGTCAGAAAAGATTTTTTAATAAGGTCTTTAAGAAATTTAGGTGTAAAAAATGATAATTAAAAACAGATTTCCGAAAATGTAAAAATAAAAAAGGCAAGAAAGAAATGCTCATCTAAATAATTAGCAGAAAGAGTACCACTTAGGATTGAAGAATAATAGAATATAAGATGTGGAATCCCTTCAGAAGCCTTACTCTGTTTTGTGAGTAAACATAGAAAGGACAAAAGCCTCAAAAATTTCCATTCCTTTGTCTTGTTTTTATCTGTAGGAAGACGCAACACCAAGTAAAACTATTGGTGACACTGACACTCCAAAGCCAGCGGAGGACAACGCCATACAGCCGGAAGTCAAGACCACCAAATGGCGTGTGGAGAATTCCTGGGGCGAGGAGAAGGACAAGCCAGGTTACCTGATGATGACGGACAGCTGGTTCACAGAATTTGTTTATGAAGTTGTTGTGGACAAGAAATATGTCCCTGCTGATGTAATGGCCGTCCTGGAGCAGGAACCAAAAGTGCTACCAGCCTGGGACCCCATGGGGTCACTGGCGTGTATTTTGTGCGAGAAAGGGGACCATCAAGCCCAGTTGTGATCTATTAGTATTTTGAAATATTATAATTCCTATTTTTATGTAGCCTAAAATAAAAGGGGGCAATGGTTTTTTTTATTCTTAAGGGTGTTCTACGAGTTTTCAATTTGTATCAACTAGTACTTATATATTCGCAAGCACCTGAGAGCACGAATGTTGTCATATCAGCATAATAGTACAAAAAAGTGAAAATCACTGAACGTACCAGAATTCAATCAATATTTTTCAAATTTGAATTGGGACGAGAAAAGGATCAAAACAGCTTTTTGATCCCTGTTTCAATGAAGAACAGTGTTGTGCGTGACATTTCGCGTGACGTTTTGTTGATTTTACTAGTTTAATATTACACTTTCCATCAAACATGATTACATTGATTGACATTGCAATTTGAGTAGCTTGATGTAGGAATCGTTTTCAGTAGTTTTTTACACGTATCGGAATGGATAGCTTCCAGTTTTAAAGGTTTTTTGCAGTCTAATTGGACTCTGGAATCCCGTCACGAAGTGAGTCAGTTTAAGTTGTTTTTTTTCTGTTTTCTAAGGCTTTGTTTCTTTAAGTTGTTTCCTTTGATTTCTGGTAGTGTAATTTCGGTAATCGACCGCATGTGATTAACAATTGTGTAATACAGCGTGGTTTACTCAGTGAAATCTGTTCGCGTTTCTTGGTTTATACGATGTATTAAGGCCCTTTATTTTTGGTTAGTTGCTATTGTTTAAGTGTATAATTTGTTGTGTTTATTTCAGATCGAATAAAAATTTTATTTATACGATTCACGGGAAATCAGAGTCAAGGGTATTTTTGGCAGTTTTCGTCCGACGGACCAATCCCTTGTCTGGAAAGTACGCTTAGACTGTCATATACACCTGTGACCCTTTTTGCTTATTTATTTTGTTTTTAATTTTGTGCAGATCAATTAAATGAAAAATAGTGTGATTTACAGGTTGTCATTTACTTGTCTCAAGTTTATCCGAACCTATCCACACATACACTGATTCCAATTGGACATTTTCTCTTAAAATCAGAAGCAAACGGAGAGAACAAGCGAGACCAAAATGGCCACGCGCGCAAATGATCTCTCGCACATACTTTCGCGTCACACTCAACGGACTAAATAACACGGGACTGGTGGTGGGCTATTTTGGTGTCAGAAGCACGATTTTCTTGCGATGTTTACGCTGGGCAGGTCTCAAATGGTTCGGTTCGAGAACGCTTCGTCTTCGTGTGCACCTGATTTGCTCACGTTGCTTCAATAGCGGACCGGTCTGGTGTGAACAGACCGTCCTAAAAGAAAAATCCCCGAGTTAACATACCAGGGACCCGTTTCTCGAAAGCCCCGGAAACTTTTCGGGCCCGCTAAGGCATTTTTAGTTAATCTGTATCTAAAAACAAAGAGGTGTATACGCCTGAAACTTCTTGTATGGAGGGAACCTCTGTTCATATTAAGAATATATGAATAAAACAGTACTGAAATGATAAGGTTTGACCGTGAGCTTTTGCTTTGGCTTTCCGGGTGCGAAAACTTTTCGGGACCTTCGAGAAACGAGCCCCAGGTGTGCATTTGTCAAAAATCCCCCTCCATATCTTTCTCTATTGTCCTTTCTAGGTGAAACGTTTCCTGTCTATGTTCAACGAAGAGTGCCCCGGCTAACAAAAGTCCCGAAAAAGATTTTGCGGAGCTTCGGAATATTTTTGGGTCCGAATATTTCCGACGTCTTGAGAAACACGAGAAGATGTTTTCGGCAGCTTTTCGGGCTCACATTCAGGTCCTAGCAGTTTTCGGGATTTTTGAGAAGCGCACACCTCCAACCTGGACAGTTTCCCCAGGGAATCTTTGCGTCTTAGTATAAGGCTCTAGACTAGATTTCCTAAACGAAGCCTTATTGAACGCTATCATAGCGTCTTTTTCAGGGTTTGTGCCGTTTTACCTCGGTTTCAAAACAATCCCTGGTACGTACAACTTTTGATCTGGAACTAAGCTGAATTTACTCACAAGACTGATCGTGCGAATAAAACTCATTTCCATATGGTCATGCAACGGCACTCATTGTGAAACAAAGGTATTAAAAACAACTCGCAAATGACCTATTCAATTGAAAAGATACTCAGGAATTTCGCAATGAAGATCTCACGCGCAAATTTTAAGGTGTGAGTTTTTTTCCGCGTGGTGCGTCTTATTTGCATTTTATTCTTTCGTTCCTCGTAGTCGAGAAGGTTTGACTTCTTTGGCGGAAGAAAACTTCTAAACGAATGGAGGAAGACACAGTGAAAGCTGTCAGCATAAAGTCAAAGGACTAACTACTCACTAACCGGTTTATCCTGCTTCCGAGGCTGAAGAAAAAGGTAAGGGCAGTTAAGCTGTGAGAAATAGGGAAAGTGAACCCAAAGTAACTTGCCGTATATTTGTTGAAATAAATGAAACGAATCGTAAACTAAAGTTACCACACTATTATTTTGCCCACTTTGTTAAAGTGGCATTTCTCGGGCAAACTATTCTCGTATTTGTTCCAGTAACGAAGTTCTTTTGGGGCCAACCGAAGATCTCATTTGTGTAGTAAATTAGAACCGAATGTAAAGAAACTAGAGTTGCGAGTCTTGGCTTTTTTGAAACTTTATTGGAAGATAACGAATCCAATGTCATTTACTCATCCTAACATTTCTATCCATGTCTCGTTTTTAGGTGAAGTACCGTAAAAGCAGCACCAAGCCGATAAGGCATGGCGGGAACAAACCACTCGTAGAGATGCAACATGCGAAGGTAAGTCTCCCATGAATCTTGAAATAAAAATAGACTTACCGTATGTACATGTGACTGCTGTTGCAATATTAGATGCGGCACATACCATGTTGATAAATTAAATTTAAAGTGTAAAATACAAAAATTAAATCAACTTTTAAATGAAAAGCCACCAACCCTTCAGATGAATTGTGCGATAAAGTTCCTCATAGTAATCCAAAAGGATTTTCTCAATTCAGCGTCCATCATTGTGGTTTCTACTCCGCCTACAAGAGTGCTGAAGGGAATCGAAGCTGAAAAACAATTTAAGCTATGAAATGTAATTTGTCACTGCGTGATCAGAGATCTGAGTTACATGCTCTACTGAAGATTTCGCGTTAGCACCATGCATGTTAAGTTGGAAAGGATTAGGAGCATGTATATATTTCTAGAAATCCTCTCCATGCTGCCTGTATCTAGTACACTGCATGAAGGCATAGGTTGTTACTCGATACTATTCTCACAGGATATCGCATTTGTCACTGTCGCCATTGAACTTCTTAAATCTTACAATTTTAAGTGTGATCCAACGTAGGGAAAGCACTGCGCTATTTGTAACCTGGTTGATGTTTTTACAGATTCACGAGGAACCATTAGAGGAACATTTTGATACTGATCAAACGCAGCAAGAGCTCGAGGAAATCACAAGCAAAGAAATGAGTGAAGGTATATGCTTAAGCAAAACTTTGCAACTAATTTATTTGATTTGGGAAAAAAATGAGTCCGCAATGTGTACATGTGTTAACAACAACCACGACCATGAATGTCTTGAAGTTTTGCAAGAGGAAAAGAAGATGTTGATCTCTTTGGGAATAAATACGTTTAAAACATCATAGCAACTATGTTGATCACCCTTGGCATTAAACAGAAGAAGTTCCTACTGATTTCAAACTTATGTTTCATTTTTTTTAGACAAAAAGCACCAAACCTTGAGGAGTTTGTTTCTAAAACTGATCGAGAAAGAGGCGAAAACTTGTAATGGCCAAGAAATTTGATAAATTTAAAATCTATCGAGAAACATTTAATTGTGCCAATGTTTGGCCGGCTGCGTGATTTTATATTTCTTTAACAACTGTGTTCACACAAAATTTCCAAGTTTCCTTTGAATGCGATTTCTTTAAATCTGAAAATCTGAATCTTTAGCTTTGGCCACTACATGTACATGTATTTCTACAGTTTTAAGATGCTATTGTTACTTTCAATTTTTCGCAGTCTACATGTATTTTTAGAAATTTCTGGCGCGATAAAAACATTTTTTCTCAGCAATGGGGCATTCAAGGACTATGGCATTTCAAATAACACTACTTATACTGTCGCGCGTGCAGGGCGTGACACAATTAATTCGACACATCGAGGCTTTCCAAAAAATAAAATATGATCCTTGAAGAGCGACTTTAAATCATATTGAAGTCTAGTTTACGAATGAGGAGGTTAACTTTCAGAAACAAAAACGAATGTTTAACGAGAATAACGACTTTAATCCTGCTTTTATGAGAGTGTGATTCAATATGCTTTTGTCCAAAATCTCGCTGAATCAACAAAATAGGATTGTTCTGTGATTCGCTATAATTGTAACATCAAAGCTTGTCTGTGTGTATCCACATTCTCAAAGCAAGATTCTAGTTTGCTATGAAAAATTCGACAAAACAGCGACGTTATTAAGGTGCCACGTGATCGATGTTATTCCATTTCAAATGCATGTTTAGAGGATTTTTTCAAACAAGCAACGCAAAATTCAGGCAATTACCGTTCTCTACAACAAACGAGTAACGCTCTGACGTGAACGCCAGTTTGAACATTCACGAATTCCATTTGATTTTACTTTGTTTTCCCAAATTAGGGAAACGAGAACCAGTTAGCGAAGTCACGTTAATATAAACGTTTTCCTAAGTTATTTTCACTACGTTTAAACTACGCACAATTTAGATAATTTTTTTTTTCTGTCCTCTACTCTCTGGTTAATCTGAAATTCTTTTCCACATTTTTTCCCCGATTCTTATATCCGTGTGAACTTTACAAATGTCGGTGCAAGAAATTTTTCACGTGACGTACCTTTACAATTTCAATGGTATGATCGGAATGTAAACAAAAATAACGATGTCAAATCGACTGACTTTTCTTTAGTGTTTGTTTTTCTCATGAAAGGAAATGTTTGATTTTTGGCAAAATAAGAAACGACATAAAAATATAGATTTTTGAAACTACAGTACCTATACTAAAGTCTGTATCTGTAATAGGGAAGATATTTGTTTACAAACATTGTTTTTGTCATTTAAATGTTGAAAACGTTAAACAAAAGAATTCTTTGTTTCACCAACCAATAGTTCTCTGGTTGGCATATTGATAACAATAGGTGACGTCACTGATATCTTTGCTATTTCACAACTTATCGACGCTCGACGTACGATGAAAATTTATTTTCTTTCAGTTATTTGTTTTCAACGTTTGCAAAATATTGACAATCGACTGACTTTTCAAAGTTCTTTTATCAAATGAATTTTTTTAATTTTTTTTTTTAATTTGTGGAAAGTTATTTTTTACATAGATCCAAATTTAAATTGCACAGGGTATCAGCGCTCGGCGTGACCATTCTTCGAAAACTGTGACTTTTTTCAGTTATTTATTTGGATCGCGTTTATTCTTGCACTAGCAAAAAACGCAAGAAACGAGCGTTGGTCTTGAGATGATGCTTTTAATTTCAATGAAATTTACTCTTCGTGATTCGCGAACAAGCCCATTATTTCAAATCCAAGGGGTTTTAGTGACTTCACTCGAGCTGATTATACACTGTTCTGTAGATGTTTTGAAGTATATTTGGCTTTTAATTCGTCATTAACCATCAAGTAAATCGTATGTAATTTTCTCATTTTGGGTCATGCGATGTCCTCTTGAGAATTCCTCCTTTGTTTCTCTAAAAATTTCACATTCAAAAACCACGTGTTGAAATTTGAAAATCGAACGGTTACATTATATTGTTGTGCGTCAAACGCTGGCTTAAATGGCAAAGAAAGTATTTCTCGTATAATTTGGCTTTTACGAAAATCGTAAAGAAAAGATAGTCATTTGTCTAGACGTCCTATATCTTTTGATGGGACAGTTCAGTGTTATTAGGCCACAGTAAAATCTAATTTACCAATTTAGAAATCAAACCCTTGGATTGATCAACATTTACTTTCTCCTATCAATAACAATATATATTCAAGGACAAAAGTTGGGAGAAGAAAGAAAATCACTTCCTTGTGTATCAAAATATTTTCATGGGGGAGCATTGAACTTAAACCACATCATGATGAAGTGTTGTACATAGCCTTGGAAAATAGTTTGAATGTTTGTTTGTTTTTGTTCTCTTTCAGTATCTTCAACAAAGCTTACCGAATGCGGTGGATCACAATCCAGAAGACAGACTCGTAGGATAAAAGTTCTTAAAGAAGTAAAGAATATATCACAAGATAGTTACAGGTTAATATAACTCGGATAATTTTATTTCCGATCGCCAGAAACAATCTACTTAATTTTACATCGAGAAATAGTTGATGTCACAAAACCTGCAAGAATAAGTTGCTAAATTTAAACTACAAGAACACGAAGGAAAGGAATGAAACGTTGTCGGGAGACGACAGAATTGTTTTCTAAAATTCTAGTATGCAATTGTTCAATTTTTGTTTATTACGTCAACCATTGTTTAAAAGGCTGTCATAGGCATTTTGGTTTGAAAAACACTTTCCCATAAACTGTTGATATTAATCTCGCAATCATCGATCGTTTTGAACTTAGTTTGAACCTAACAAAAACGTTCGACTCGTGCTTAATACTCCTACTAAAATAGCTTACGTATTTTTTTCGGTGTAATCACAGAGCGCATTATAGCCGCCACAAAAAAACGCAACGGAGCATTTAATCAGAACATGTCAGAACATGCATGATTGCATGTTCTGTTGTGTTATTTTGTGGTGGTAATATTTCGCTCTGCGATTACACCGAAGAAATTGCGAGAGCTGTTTAGGAGTATTTTGCACGAATTCAGAAATTAATTTGCTCTGTGGTTATTTTCGTTATTTTACGACAGTCATTGAAAAACTTGCTCAAAAAACTTGACATAACATGCTTAAGATTGCAACCGAAATGTTCATTTCGTCAAATAATTTCTTTCATAAGTCAAAATCTTCAAATACTCGTTGCAACCAGACACTATTCATCAAGCCGAAATCGTTCTCAAATGTAGTTAACTAGATTTTTATTAGTATTTGGTTCTATTCACAAGCGGTCTTTAGAGTTAGCAATTTAACTTATGAAGCAACAGTACTTTTTTCCATTTTCGCCTTCGTTATTTTTCTATTGATACTTATAATATCCACATTTTGCGACTTAAAAGTATTGTATAATAATTGCTTGTATTCAAGTGTTGTAATCAAGTTCAATGTTTACTTTAGTTACTTAATAAAATGAAAGCAATCAATAAAATGTTTTCACAACTTTAATTGTGTCTATCATCTATTGTCTTTTCGACTTTTTCAATGAAAAAATATATTTAAAAAAATTCGCGCTTTTAAAAGGGGCCTGGAAACTAGAAGAAATGTAGGCTATCTCTTTTACTATTTTTTGACTATGTAGGGTTGCCGCGAAGAAAAAAAATTCTGCACTTTTGAACAGGGTCTAGCCAGAAATCAATCATATATTTGGAATTTTGATGGGAAAAACCATTTGCACAGTGCAAGATTTTTCCCGCCAAAAGACTTAGTATATTTTTGACTCAAAACCAGACACCATTCAAAACCTCAGACTTTTTTTCCTAAGGACAATTTTCCCGCCAAAAGACTTAGTTTATTTTTCAACTTTTTTTCTTAGTCCCTTTTAAAAGCGCAAACTTTTTCCCACCAAAAGACTTAGTTTTGTTTTTTCGACTTTTTCTCTTGGCTCCTTTAAAAAGCGCGAACTTTTTCCTGCCAAAAGACTTAGTTTTTTTTTTTCGACTTTGTTTCTTGGTCCCTTTTAAAAGCGCGAACTTTTTCCCGCCAAAAGACTTTGTTTTTTCTTCGAAGTTTTTCGCGACGAGCTGACGAGTTAAGGAAACACTGCTCCAAACGAGATCAGAACTTAGACTATTCAAGACTTTTTATTTCAACATTTCTTTGTTTTACTCGTAACGTGAACTCCTCTGGTTCAGGTCAATGGCTTTGAGCCTGAAATAAAAAGAGCAAATAAAAACATTATTTTAAAGCCATGAAAACCTTTAGAACAGTAGACTCGCTTTTACATAAGAACGTCTAGGCTGCGATTGACCAACAGCATGTCAAGACCATTTTCATTTTTTTTTTTTTTCCACTTGTTTTTGCATTTAACAATACACTACTCCTTTCTGAGAAAAGCAGTGCAATACTTAAAATAACCTGGTAAAGCATCCCAGCTGAGCCAAAAACTTTTGAAATTAGTGAGGCGCTCTTAAGAAAAAAGGTGTTTTGCAGTAATCTGGAACATTCACTACACTTTAGCGACAACTTCATTAAGCGATCGAAACGCGGAAATAGCTTTCGAAGTCAAATTCAACCTAATCTCTGATGTCACTTATTAACATAGAGCAACAAGTACAACACATGTAACTGATTGAATTATAGTTTTTTCTCACTGTACATGTATACTAAGTTATTACATGGTATTAAATCATTTCTCAAGTCACCGAGGTTGGAGGATAAAGGAATGTACTTAAATGCCAATTTATAACAGAATGGTCTAAACTTGCAATTCCAAGTTCAGAATATAAGTTCTCCTTATTTTTTTCGATGCAACATTCAAAGTCAGGTTCTGAGAATTTGGTTTTACAACAAGATAATATCCTCTCAGCTGTTTCCTTGCCATCTTGTGTGGGATCTACTATTACAAACTCCTCTCGGTACCCCTCATCAGTCAGTCAACTCCGAGTGAAATTACTTCAGTTCATAAAACATATATCTATAGACGTTTTACTGAAAAGAAACACTGCAAAAACAGTGACAAGGATGCTGGAAAAGCACTTCCCAAACTCATTTAATGATTCATCCGTGAAGGAGGTTTGGATACCCGGTCTTATATTAATTAGCATAGATTTTGACGATTTTACTTCTCCGTTTACTCCTTAGTTTTTGTTTCAATTGAGAAGGTATATCAAACACTCGAGACAGTGTTTCATCCGTCATCCAATCACATTCAATCGAATTTAGTCCAAATACTCCGCTGCCCGTTATATTTTCAACTCTCTTCTCGGTATTTGGATATCCCGATGAAACACTGTCTCGAGTGTTTGATATATTACATGTTTTCCTATTGTATATCACGCATGGTACAGTATTTTAATCTTGACCTCAGTTGTAAAATTCTAAACTCTTCTTTTCTCATGTTCTAGAAATTACTGCTTAGTATTGGAAATGAAACATTTGAAAGCTTATGATGTACAAGATGAATGTTTTTCTGAAGTGTTGGAGAGCGGATATATTTGTCATTTTCTTGATTTTCAAATAAAAAAAACAATTTAGAGCTACAAAGTAAAAGCGAATTATAATGATGACAAAACCTATGTTATTTCTTGTTCAATTCTGTAACCCGCTGGTTCCTCAGGTGGCCTCTGCATACTTCTCTTAAAATTATATCCGAAATAACTCATTTACGAAGTACTACTTACAATGTACGTACAGAACCGTAATTTGTAAAGCGTGCCTTCTATCTGCCTGCTACAGCGAGTATATATCCTGTAACATTTCTAAAGTGGTTCAAACAACCAAAATATTTTGTAACATTAGTAAAGATCACCAATCCTTCAGGCATTGTTTGAACTTTTGGTTAAACAAAAAATATTTATCGCATTTTACTGAACTCAAACTAAACTGACCAAAGTTAAATGTGTTTTGATGCCATGATGTAACATGTAAGTTTAAGGGTCCCTGAAGCTCAAGGATGATCTAGGATCAAAATTCTCCGTCAGTGCTGCCTCCCATTTCTTTGTTATACATGTACAGAAGCTTAAAGGTACATGTATTGAGAATTTGGGTGGAACATCAGCTAAGACAATGTTTTCAACTGATGATTTTACCAGGTCTCCTTACATGTCTGCTTGACTAACTATAATGATAACGTCCTACACTTGCACATGATCTAGAATCAAAACTCTCCTTTAGTATTGCCTTCAACTTCTGGTAATAGGCTACTGAGAATGTGATAGAACATCAGAACAAATAAATTTATGTTTCACTGATGATTTTGTTGAGTCTTATTACTTATCTTCTGGACTGACTATTGATAGTGTTTCAAGTTCCAGCATTGTCTAGATCAAAAATTTTACTTTAGTTATGCCTTCCATTTCTTTTCGTAAAGCACTGAAAATTCCATGGAACATCAGGACCATTAATGTTTCACTGACGATTTTGTCATCTCATTACTTGTCTGCTTGACTGTCTTTTGATAGTGTAAGAAAAAAAAATTGTCTTGATTACAACAACTATTCAGTGCGTGGTAATAAACGAAATACAGATCAAACTAACGACGATATCACTATTGATTTCTGCAACGTTTTTATAATCTTGTGGTCTATTCAAACAGTTTAAACCAGATGGAGATTGTCAATTGGTTTTGAATAACATAGTAAATTAAAAGGCTTGAAGTTAGGTTTTTCCAATCTTTTTCAAAAACTGATTGTAAAATGTTATTCTTTAAAAAGCTCTTACTAGAAAGTCACAAATTTTTCAGCATTCCAAGAGATTTCACATTTGCAGTGGTGACTGTAAATGAAATAAATATACTGTGGTGAACACCATTACAGTAGCAACTGAGAAGTTCGTCATGTTTTTATAGATGAGATTTTTAAGTAAAAACAAATCATAATCTTAGTTTACATGAAGAATATACTGCTTAAAAATAATGAGCGAAGAACAGTACACTCACGGGCAATTTTTAATTTGTTTCTGAGTTTTAAGTAAAAACCCTCAGCCTCACTGGTTATTAAAAGGCACCAAACACTTTAAGATTGTTTCAAATGTACATAATTATTTCAATCAACTTGATAAATCCTATTAGAATAAAAACGTTCTCTGGTTAAAAACATATTAAAAACATAAGCTTTCGGCTATCAGTCTATAGCCTTTAACGAATGAAAAATGTNACAATACTTTTCACCTTTTTTTTCTTACATGTATATGGCCAGAATAGAAAACATTATAATTCCCTCCAGAATTAATCATAATTCTTTAACCCTTTATTTATTAACCCAACTGATCCACACCAAGCGCAGTTTAAACAGCTAGATTCCCAACACAGTTATTCCTTGTAGTAATGTACAATGTTTAATTTAACTTTCATCATCTAAACAGCCCCTTGTTGGTTAAATCTTGTATGATAAATAGGAAAACTGTTTGTTACTCACCAATTGCTATAAAGAGGCCATTTCTCTTTTCCAATACTTTGTGAGTTATTCTATCATCATTGCAGTCAACTGTGGGGAAAATATAAACTAAAATTAATATAAGAACACTAGTCTAATGCCCCTTACATGTACCTGAAAAGGAGAAAACTGTAATCAAGAAAAAATTTGATGAACTATGGGAGAAAGATATCATACATAAGTGTTTTTTTTTTTTTTTTTTTACCATGTATATTTGCGAGATCAATAGTTAATTATTAATACCCAATGATGATACATATCAGCAAGTGAACATATGAAATATGGAAATGAAAATTGCACTCACCTACACCTACTGGCTACATGTAGTTCTTTTCCAGTCCTTGGTGAGTTGATCAAGTAACCACTGGTGAAACACTCCAGAAGCTGTTGGGGAAATATAATTTTTCCTTAATATTTTTAGGGCATAAATACATGTACACTGTATAGGGAAAATATCACCTGGGGTGCTGCTGGAAACTGGGAGATTTCTGCCAACTGACAAACTACATAGATGTTCTTAACACAGACAGCCATTATGTACATGTACTGTAGCTTGTGTTTAGAAAAGAATTTACCTACTCAACAAAATTTGGTTTTAATTAGTACATGTACCAAATTACTGTACATGTGGGTTCCATTAGGCGCGGTGGCCTAATTGTTAGCGTGCTTAACTCCTGATCAGACTCATGGCAACATGAAATCTATTTGTTGATGTGACATTTTGTATACATGTAGAGTAAACAATTGTGTGAAACTGCATGGCTTTCCTGAGTATGAGGGTTGGTGCTCCAATGAATTACAGTGTATTAAGCAGCCTTGTATTAAGCAGCCACCCCCTTACATGTATTACGTAAGCAGCCAGTTATCAGAGTCCCATAGTCATTGTCAGTAAAATGCTACAAACAAAACCCCTAATACCTGGCCACCACTATTTAAGTGGTCACGGCCACCTTTTGGTCCTTCCCTCCTTGGTCCTTCCTCCCTTTGGTCCTTTACCCCTATGAAATGGCCACCCAAAATTCAATACACTTATTTCAGCTTCGTTTTGGAAAAGGCACTGCTAGATAAGGGTCCTAACTCAAAGGAGATGATGTACATTTATCATGATTTTCTTGACATAATTCCATGTTTCTCAGCAGTTAACCCCAGCCCATATGCCTATGTGGATATTACTCCCAGTCCACAGTCTGACTGTTTTACACTGACCATACTTTTACTGTCTTCACTGGGTTACAGTGTATATGCTCATGGCCTATGTAGTTAAGCTTAATAGGCTATTGCATCTAATATCTGCATTTTGCCGTACCCCCCCCCCCCACCTCCCTAACCTGTAGAGTACTGGTCTTATCGTGTCTTTCATTCTCACCCCTAATAAGAAATCTGTTGAAAACATCTTAACCCATAAGGAAATCCATAAGGAATTGGCTATCCTCTCAAGAATTCCATTAGAAATTCTGTGTAATTTCTAGATTTCATCACTGAAGAATTCCAAATCATTTCGGTCATTTCCATAAGAATTACTGTCTTTCTCACCTTGCCCCATAAGAAATCCACGATTTACGAATTTAGTGGCGGGGNGGGGGGCTGCATATATGTAAACTGTATATTAAATGCAGTAGCACAATTCGATTTAACATCGTCGTAAAAACACCACAAAAACAAAATCATTAGCCTCACAAAGAGCCTTAAACGTTGCCTGCAAAGAACTAAAACGGTTTGGGGATCAAGTTCATTACCTTCACGAATTTGCTTGCTGCAAACTCCTTGCGTTCGAGGAAAGCCATTTGCTTGTCAAACTACCCTCAAACTAAAGGTTGTCTTCCAAACTGTTAACAGCGTTTCTCTCACAAACTACGAGTCTATTCAAGTCGTTCCAACTTTCCAACTGTGTGTGTAGTGAAGCAAAAAACGCTTTCCCCACTCCATTTCGGCGACGTTTTCCAGCGAAACGTGGTTTGACGAAGGAAAGCTAGTCACGTGCAAGTTGTCATGAATAAATTAATTTGCATAAAAAGTGTTACAATCGGTCAAATGCAAATTGTGAAAAAAGCGCGCGAATTTGTTTTGATTACATGCACATTTTTCCACAGAAACGGGCTCCATCTAACAACATTTTCTCAGTTTTTTCTCCACCCAAAACTTACGAAAATGTCCGAGGTCTATCCCTGGGGTCTATCGATCTGATACGGCGGGACAGAGCGAAACAAGTCCATACAGAAATGAACAAAGGAATATTCGTCCATCATTTGCGGACCCGTACAGTACGGTATCGAGCTAGTAATGAAGTGAATGAATTTTTTTATGGTTACCTTTAACCAAGAGACAGATCATAGTCGCTTGCTTTAACATTTCCCCTCCGTGTTATGCTGCACTCCCCTCCCCGGAGGGAGGGGGTAGTCTACAAAGTTTTACACGAATAAACTACGCCGCGAGGTCCATTTTGACTGAAAAGGTATACATATCCCTTGCGTATATCTTTAACAGAAAAAACGTACCCACTTCACGCTGATACTTTCGTAACTGGCACGTACTATGAATACGTCGTCAAAAAAGGAAGCCTTCTTGTCATTTTCATGTAGTGCCTAATAAATGAAATGATACGCCATATTAGGTGCGTCAGTTCAAAATATTTTAAATTAAGACTCTTGAAAGTAACTAAATGGCAGAGTTGCCTTACCTTTCATATAACTAAACTTGTGAAATCCCTTCCCTGTTATATACGTACTTGAAGCCTGAAAAGGGCACCCCTTTCGGACGGAGCCTCGTCGTATAGGCAATTGTTACAAGATACCATGATCTCTTGGCCATTATGGTGAGTGCCCCCCCCCCCCCCCCCCCCCCCCGCATCCCCACTCAGGGTGCTGGCAAGCATACTGATGCATGCATCGCCCATAACGCCATTATGCGTAGTTTTAATTTCATTTTTGCCTCTCCTTGTTGCATTAATTGACCAATAAGAGGTATGTTGATAGAGCACACATTCAACTAAGTACAAATCATCACAATAAATTTGATTTTGTCCGTGGAAGATTTGAGCAAATAGAAAACGGAAAATCATTTAAGGAAATTTGAAATTAATTGAAAAAATATAGGTTCTCATAAATACGAACTTAATATTATAGAATTTGAAATGCAACGTGGAGTTAAACCTAAAAAAATTGATTATACCGATTTTTATAAAATTCTGTAGTAGGAAAAATTAAGAGGGCAATAGTCAGAGAGTAGTTTTTTCTTTCATCTGCCCTAAGGCATCTTTTTTTAACTTAAATATTTTGAAGATCATTCATGATAACATCTATTATTACATCACCGAGAAAATTATTACATCACTGAAAAAATTACTTCATTGTTTTTTTTTAATTTTGTCTTTTCTGTTTAGGGAGTATATATATATATATTGTAATTTCAAAAGATGTTGAAGGTATTCTAGTTAATTCTTGGTGAGTGGATTCGTTTGGCTTGTGGAGTTTTTAAAAAATGATTTTTAGAGTGTTGTATTTGTTTGTATACTTTTGTTTCCTTCGTATCCGATACATGTCCTCATAACAATTAACCGGTTTAGTGGTATACAAATACTCCTTAATTTGACCACAAGAATTAACGAGCTATTCAATCTTCTTTCATCTTTTATTATTTGCATAACTTTCTAAAAGGTCTAGATAGCAGCAGACATGTAAAGATTTTAAAGAAAACGACCAATTTTTTCTTGAGTTGAAAGCTGGTAGTGTTCAATAGACTGCTTTCATATTTTAGATCACGCCACTACCAACTTTCAACTCAAGATAAAGGAGGCTATCCATATTCAAAAAGAACTACCTTGCCTCAATCAGCAATTACACCATGTAAATCTAAAATTATCCTTTTAATTTACACTTTTCACGTTCTGTTGTTACTATTTGTCTTAATTAGCATTTTTGCCTACTTATTATTCAACTTGCTTTGTAATCATTCATTCAACTGAGGATGACAG